CTATATTTAAAGCAATTTTACATAGTAAATATACTATTATATTAATGTATATAATACTGAGTATATTTGGCGTAATTTTTTTTTTAATCGAAATACAGAAAATTTACTCCGTTTACAAAAATAAAGGATAAAGAAAGTTTAAAATGATAATATTTATTAATATTAGAATCCATTCATAAATGTACTACAAAAGGGACCCGGATTAATATAGTAGTAACAAGGGATTTCTTGAATAAGTCTCGGAACTACTATTAAATGAAATATAAAAGCCAGGTATTTATAAAACGGATTTAAACTAAATATACAAATTTTAGTTAGAATTAAGGCGGGACTTTAAATTAGGGCTTTCAAAAGCTGTTAATTATTTAATAATTTTATAATCCAAATAAGTAGGTAGGATATTCAAGTTGGATAAGAAATTGCTGAAGAATTATCCTAAATTATTTCAAACTCTGTAGTAGCTAATCTATAATGTTAGGGGTAGTGGCAATTTCTTACTTGGCTTCCTTCAATATTTTATATAACATAGCTTTTTTAAGTTCGTCACATCTCTCTAATCTTATATCATTTACGCTAATATAGTTAACAGTATTAAGTATATTATTATTTACTAGCAGGTAATTAAACTACTTCATGTTGATTCTAATATTTATATAATTGGGATAATATATCTTGAAGAAGACTAAATATATTTTGACTTTTGGGCAATTGTCATGGGGCTGGCGCCTAGGGGTGTTTGCCTGGCTTGAACTCTATGAAAGCCAGGCCTGCCTTCTGACTGGGTGCACTCCTGGGGTATGCCGCACGAACCACATTTTCGACCTTGGCGTTTCTAGCACCTTCGATATACGCACCTCTCTTGTGTATTTAGCTGTAAGCTCCATGCCATACTGGCACAGACTTCCCTTTTCCTCTTTGTCGAATATTATCACTTTCACCAAGGCCTACCTGTGTGTATACCTCGTAGAACCCTTACAGCAATTAACTCTTAATTCTTTTTACATTCTATTGATATTTGGATAGCTGTAGTAGTTCTATAGCTATATTCAAAAGATATTTACTTAGGGAGACGGCGTTATAGGGTTAGGTGAGGGAGGAGCCGGGTCAGCAGCGGCCAGTGCCAAGTATACAGCAATTTAAATAAATGAATATAAATAAAACCAATGTTTCAAAAATAATTGATATAGTAACTTTTTACTAGTGTTATGAATTCCTGAAAGTATATATATAATAATAAATATAGATTTGTACAATAAATATGTTTTCGTAAAAATTGGGAATCAGAAACGGAATATCTTATCTTCTTTAACGAATATATTAAAGTTTATATCATGAATACTACTAACTTCGACAGGTTTGTCAAGTAGTAAATTACTGTTAGTACGGAAACAACGCTTATATACTACATGAATATGAATCCTAAAATTAAACTACTATTCGTTGTAACGACTATATTCTTTTTATAATATAATTTTAATAGCAATTTGAGATAGTTCGGGCGGTTATATAACTGGTAAAGAGAGGGGGGGAGGGGCGTCGCGTTTAAATTTAATGCTGAATATACTAGAGAATTGAAGTATATAAATTAGTTATTAAGAAAATTAGCTGGTAGCGGCGGCTCTTCGGCCGGCTAAGTAGCCGGGACGTTTAGCGCAACGTAGGCTTAGCGAAGTATATGGAATTTATAGAGTATTAAGTATAAAATCTATAAGATCGTTAATAGTATCTATAGTTTCCGTGCTATAAAAGAAATCAATAATGTTGGAACTATTTAGAGAATTAGTAGTACTAAAATTATTAAAAGAATTAGTAATATTAGAATTATAAATAAAAATTGAATTATATCACTAATACTTATTATTATTATCAAATTCCAACTTAAAACAATAATCCGGTTCTAAACACTTTATATAATAATTATACTCACAAATTCATCTATTCAAAGAATAACAATATTAAAATTCTTTATTGTAGCAGACATGTATCTTATTATCTTTATAAATACTAGAAGTTGGAGTTCTATAGATATATATTACGTAAAGCTAGATAGCAGGATTATAATTCATAAAACGCTAAGGAACGTTATAAATCGGATAAATGAAGTATCATATATTGGAAATAAATTAGCTATTACTATTATCATTATTATCAACTAATTTTACTAGGATATTGAGAGATTCGGTTATTTATTAAGTACAACTTTTTTAAACGTAACTTAATTCATATACTATGTACAATAATATTGTTTGAAATAATTACTATCAAATATAATTAATTTAGAGATATATACTATCAGAGTCGGCATAAACTTTGTATTAATCAAAGACCTTAATTAAGTACCCTTTATTCTATATATGAAATATATAACTAATAATTTATATATTGTAATTATTAATATACTAAAAACCGTAGTAGTTGAAATAGATAAATTACTTATTACTATTATACTAAAACCAATTTCCGGTAATTAAGTTACGCTAGAAATAAGTTGTACAAACCGATAATTGAAATATATAAATTATTAATCGCTATTACAAAATCAACGAACACTTATTATTAAATTATAATCGATAGAAGAGTGCGATATATAATAATAGTAGTAAAAGAATTTACCAAAGTAGCTAGGGGTAAATTCCTATAAATTAAAGTTTCTTGGAATAATCAATATTGTTAAGAATAGCGTAAACAATATATTTTTCTCTTAATTCTAATCGTACTAATAATAATCATATTGAAATTAGATTTATTTCCGGCGGATTTAAATAGTCTTTTTATTATTCTATAAGTAAGTTAATATAAATTTAATGAAATACTACATATAATACTTAGTTTTAAATATTACTTACTGATTTTATACAATATATTATTAGTAATGGAACTAACTTCAATCTAAATAGTTTAATATTAAGGATAATAAATTTGGAATTAATAACTATATATGTGTAATGAAACTAATGAATTTAAAAAAGCTAATTAAACCAAGTTTAATAGGACAGTCTATTATTACTACCATTTAACCTCAAACTTTTAATGTATAATAGCTTAACGTTAACGTTATTATTGTATTAATTCCTACGTAGAAATATCATTGATTAATATAAAAAAAAAAGAAATCAAGTAAAGCGGAAATTCGATTTATAGTAAAATACTAAATACGTTCAATTATATATTTACGTAATAATTGTATGCATACAATAGTAACTGTAATATTTTATTAATCTACATTAGTTTTATTAATATACTATATAAATAAAGTTACTAATAAATCTAATACTTATTAATAGTAATTGAATACAACAATCCTAAATATAAAATGCAAATAATCGCAAACAACTACAGTAATTATGACAGGCTGGGGTGCATATGCCCAGACGGCCAAACCTACAAAAGATAGGATGATGTTCTGCTTGCAAAGCAGAACTCGAAATGCACACTATATAGCCAATGTCAACCTGTGACAGTAATACAACCTCTTACCGCATTTGATATCGCTTTTATATACAAGTCTAATTAGAAATAACTACAATTTATCATTATTATATATGATTTTAATCATTTTTATATATATAAAATTATATAAACCATATTAATTAGTATGATTAAGAAATAATAGACTCATAATACTATTTAAAATAGCTAATGAAATAGTATTTTACAATTCTATTCCTATAAATTCATAACTAGTCCGTATTTACGTACAATCGCAGTGTCTAAATAAAACCGTTGCGCTAAAGCGCGTTGAAGCGGGCCTACGGACCGCGCGACTTTTGGTGCGAGATCTAGTAATGGCGCCACCGTTCCGGTGAGCCCGCGTCTCCTTTGCTTGGGCATGGGCGTTTCAATAACCTACCCAGTTCGGTTGGTATCTATCTGTGCTTTGTGCCTTCCACTTTAGTTAATAGGTGACTGAGTCGGTCTTACCTTTCTTTCACGAGGTTGTGATGAAATGTGTGTGATATGGAAAGACCCTGGAAGAGTTATTGATAAAATGCAACAACGTGGAGGAGCTCCCCCGCTGTCCCGACTGGAAGGCTACCCCTGTGTTTAAACCCCTGTAGGCTGATGGGGCCACCCCCTGAGTTGTGCCCCCGGATTGGGGTTGGAGGGTTTGACTGGTGTGGCCAGCCAAAGTGATGAAACAGAATGCAGGGTTCCGTTTCACCTTTCGGTTAAATGTCAAAAGCCACGGCAGTCACCTCTCCCTCAAAACAACGTCTTCCACCAAGCTTCCAAACGTCAACTGAAGCTGGATCATTCGTCAATTGAGGGACAGTGACTCTCACGTGAAGGAATTTGCTCGAAGTGTTTTCGGTCGGAGCGCGCCGTGTCTTTGCACCAACAACGTCTCGGAATCGGGCAAAGTGGTCACAAATGATAACGCCGGCACGCCCACCACCTACACCACCACATCGACACACCGACTTCTATATTCCACTCTCTGTTAGTCAGCGCCTAGGCTTCCATGATGCAGCTGCGGTTACGCGCCGGTCCATAGCATACGCGAAAAATATTTTTGCAGGCAAAGGTGTACCGGAAAAGATAATTCTGCATGTCAACCGTCGGGCCACAGCGAAAAAAGATGGCCGGTGAAGCGCAAACGCCGCATTCCCAGGCACAGCCATGCTCGCCGTGATAAGCACTCACCAAGCACCGAAACTCAAACAGAATACGAACTCTCTTCAGTTTAAAAGTAACCCGGAATTTCGGGGCCGTACGGGGGATGTGATTAATCTTCAAACAACATTTCCCGGAGTAGGCTGGCTCCCGGAGAGTCGGTCTGCCTCTGTTGGTGAATGCCTGGGTGGGCACAGCAAGTGAAATCACCCTCAGAAATGAAACTGGTAAGCCCCCCTGAGGCATAAGTATTCACGCTCACCTGAGCCACAATAATCCGTGACCAGGATAACAGCGGGAAGAAAAGGCTTAACATTGCCGGTCGCGAACCTAGAGGCTATTATTGGAGAATAGCTGCCCTCCCCCGTATCAGCTAATGTGCCTCCTCATACAGCTGAGGCCAATGTAGCAGGTTTATCAGGATCGCAATCTAAAGCGAAAAGAAGCGTTAGCAATTACCCTTCCACATCATCGTCTATCCCGGCCCCAACTCCTTGTGAAGCGACTGAAGTCTGAAGGAGACCGCTGATGCGTCTTCCCTTTTTTCCTTCCCTCCTCACTCAAAAACTCCCTGTTACCAAAGGTACTTCCGACACTACTTACCAGCAAAGATAAGATCAGCCCTCGTCCACAGCTTCAGCTTCTCCTTCCTGAACTCCTCCAAATCCCACTCCTTCTCCTCCAAGTGCTGCGTCGGCATGAAGACGTAGACCTCCGCCTCCCTTTCACCGCCGGCGGCCTCCACGTTACCCTCCCCGGTCTTGACGTCGCCCACCTTCTCCAGCAGTTTTACTTTTACCGTCCTGCGCTCGTATTCGGCTCCCTCAAAGTGATCCAGCTTGCCCATATTGGCCCGTGTCAGACCCGTGGCGAAGATGCCCAAGACGGTGTGGTCCGCGTCCTCGGTGATGCCCGGGTAGTCGGCCCACTTGATGCGGCGCCGGCAGTACCCAGGCAGGATCGCCGGAGTGAAGGTGTGCTGAGCAGCGATGGCGTCGGGAACCGTTTTGGTGTTGTAGCAGACTGTGTAGAAGACTTCGGGGACCATTAGGGTGCCTGGTTATGGTAGGTTAGTTGGATGGGTGGATATACGATAAGATGTAGGTTTTAGGATTCCCGCCACGGCAGCTGCGTTGAGTGCCTGGACCCGGTGGAAGAGATGCGTTCCGGTGAAGATGTGACTGTGAAGATAACTTACCATAGAAGAAGGCGCAGTGCACGCCGTCGTCGCTTTGTGCTGATTCAGTCATTATTCTTGTTTCTTTTGGAGCTGCGTTCTTGTGTAGACGTGAGGATGAGGTTGGACTCCTCAAACTGCGTCAAACTGCCCGGGCAACGGATGTCCGCCAAAAAAAGCTGCTTTGAGTGTGGCGTGGTATTTTGAGGTTGCGAGAGGATTCAGAACGCCAAGATCAATGACTCCCATCTCCGTTCTTGGATCTTCGACTGCTAGATGTGCGATATGTAAAATGTTCAAAAATGTTTCTTGTTTTGGCAATCGCGCTCGCGCTTCGCAGTAGTTTGGTTTTATCCGAGTATGAGGTGCCTTCGTGAGAGGGGTTCTTTCCCACCTGCTGCCTGAGGGGCGTGAGATATCAACTTATCACAGATTTATCTCCACACAGCCTATTTATGGAGGGAAAATATTAGTGCGTACTTCTGCACTAACAATAAGCTGTAGGCTTGCAAAGCGTATATAACCAGCACAGTCATCATTCCCTCCTACCTGTGATTCATTTTCTCCTGAGCATGGTCACAGGTATGGAGATGTTGTGTGCGAAGCTGGAAATTAAGCATTATTGTGATAACCATAAATATATACAGAGTTCCCATCCCTTCTCATTTCCCCCTCTTATACCATCGTTTTCTTCCTTCCCTCATCGTCTCATCAATGGTCACGACGAACGGATCCATCTCGATACCCAGATGGAGATTCCCATCGACTCCTATATACCGACCAAACGAATAAGTCGATTGAGAAAACGACTTGAATGACGACATGGTTCGAGATGCGCTTGTCTTGACGTCGTAGTCTTCTCCATAATGGCGAACCGCTCGACTTGCGGCTACGTAACCGATAAGGGAGCCAATGGTAGACGGGAACCTTGGAAGATACGACTTCTTTCTCCGCCAGTAAATTGCAGTCAAGACAACCACGTTGAGCGACAAGATGACAACGCTGATGATGAAAGCGTTATCATCCAGAAAGATTCGTGTCTCTGTGCCAAGCCAGACGCCATCAACAACAGCATCGCCGTTGGCGGTGTCAACAGATTCGAACATCGGCAAGTTTTGACCGAGAAGAACAGCGAAGAGCCTTTGGTAGAGGTCTTGCACTGCGGGAATCAAGACGTCCACGTCTGGCACGTCTTTCTGAGGGTCGACCAGGTCCGTGGTATTAAGGTAAAATTTGAGCAGATAATTGAACCAGTCTGTGGCGATGGAGGTATTGTGCCAGCCCAAAGGGTAAAGACTGGGGCCAGTTCGGCCGACGTTGGTGATGAGGCCATTAGCCTCCCTAACCAATATTTGCGACTGGTTACGGGTCATGAATAGTTCAATATCGTCGAACTCTCCAGCTTGGGTAGAGTTTAGGATGCGGCCCGTGTGATCAAACGTCACGTTAAAGACTGCTGTCTTTAGGGTTGCCTCGCACGTCATAAATGTTGACTGTATGATCTCAGAGCTGTCGTTGGAGTTGATGCGAAGCCAGCCCAAAGCAATCTTGTCCTCACAGAAGCCGCTCTTGTCGCTGGGCGGTAATGACCAGGGGCCGAGGGGATCTGGTTGAAGTCCACTCGCGAATTCACGTGCGGAGCGTCCGGCTGGGTCTGGCCCAGTCATGGACATTTGAGGAAAACACTCTGTCCATGACCCATTATCCCGGTGAAATAAGTAGGTCGGTTTTTCGCGTCCGCCTCTGACATAGGTCAAGTTGGCGTATGACTCCGAGGCTGACTTGGATGAAGACAATGGTGTACATTTTGAGTCGACCCCGAACCCTCTCAACTGTGTCCGAAATACTCCCTCCTTTTGTATCTCCTGAGGTAACACGACAGGCAGAAACGCATGCTTGTGCGTCGTCCATGGGGGTAAAGTGGTGTTCGTGGATAGGTTTGACCAAGTCGCATAGAAATGGTCATAAGTGTGACCCGAGGTAACATGCTGCGTGTATACAGGATCCATAATGGTATCGCGGGTAAGAGCACCACGTTGTGCCTCAGCAAACCTGAGAGGGTACTCAACCGCCACGGGTGCCTCGTTGAAAATACCTCCAAGAGACACTGTGACGACGTTGGCTAAGAGGGTTATGGCACAAAGCGATACCAGCAGAAAATGCTGCGACTTCAAGGCTCGCCATAAGACTAGTTGAGGCGGCAAGGACGTGTATCGTGCTTCAAGCGTACTCTCGGGGCCTCGTCTCCCCTTACGCAGTTCGTTGAATGGCTGTAGAATGCAGATGATCCTGGTCAAGACAACCAGAAATGGCTCGAGCAAGGTTGAGAAAACCGTGGGAATGTAATTCTCGAGTATCTGAAGGACAGTGAAATTCTCCGTCGGTCTCGACAGCCCTGTGTGTCGTTAGCACCCTGTATGCGCGGAATGGAGCATAGTACATACCATTAAGTGCCTGCTCTTGTTTCTTGAGATAAGCAAGTACTGTGAGGGCAGTGAGTATGACCAATATTACGATGAGCCCTGTTGCTGGGTGCAAGTCTCGAGGCTGTGTTGCTGCATATTTAATGTCTCTTCGACGATCGCTGGAAGAATCGTCCTTCAATTCAGACTCGGGCGTTGATGGTCTAGAGAAGGATGAATTGATGATGTCCAAGATACTTTGATCATTGTCCAGTTCGAGGTTGAACCGTTCGTTCAGAAGACTCTTCTTAAGTTCTGGTGTGCCTGTACAATCTTCCATTGCAAATCGACCAAGCAAAGCTCGACTTCTTTGAAGTGCCCTCAGGGTGAATCCTATTGTTGCCGGATCGTCAGATAGATTGCTTGCAGCTCGGGCACTTGTGTACCACACTGCTGCGATGAGAAATGCAACCGCAAGAAGTAGCCCTTCGAAGACATAGGCAATTGTTCTGTTGACGACAACCCCATACATTGTGCGCTTCACAGAGACATCATCTCCGTTTGAGACTTGCACTGGTGTTAATAGATTCGAGACAGCGACAGCAAAAGCGGCTTTGTGAGCGGTGCGAAAGGAATCCTCAAGAGTTTTTGAGTCTCTCCATTGCTTCACCGGCCTGTCAGAGAGGCCCAGCGCTGTATTCACCATATTGGTTACCGGCCAAGCGACGTCTTTCTTGGATAACGCGCCAAAGGGTTCCAAGGTGGTACAAGCTGCGAAGTCGCGAACGGGCGTGGGGAATTCGAAATTTCCGTAGGTCGTGAAAGGCTTTCCGGTATTCAAGAGAAACTCAAGGGCCGTGGAGTTGAACTCATCCTCGCCAAGTTGTTCCTTCGGTCCCAAGTAGGATAGAGATCCATCAAGTGGTTTGTTCGTATCAGCCGAAACCGCAACCGACACCTGCTGCTTGTGATAGCGCGTTTCGCAAAATGAGCCGGTAATGTTTTTATACACAACATTTCCTAGCGAGTCTCTAGTTTGGTCGGCATAGACCGCTAGGAATTGATGAGAAGTATTCGTACTACATTTTGGCTGTTTGAGTTGGTAGTCCAGGTGTGCATCTCCGTGATAGCCGATGTAAAGCACTACAGAGACATTGTTGACATCTGGAAACGGGCTCGTCTGGAAGAACGCAACAGTCGTATTGCAGCCACGTTCATTATCGAAGACGAAGCTTCGGTCATTGGGAGTGGTGGTAATAGAAGCTGGCCAGCAGTCCAGATCGGTGCTGAGCATCTGCGTGGTAGCAGTCCATGATTCCTCGGTGCGATTGCGTGATCCCACAATCGTAGGAGCAAAAGGAACGACTGCGTAATCAGATGTTGTGAAGGCCGGGTATGACTGGTTGAGCCATGCCACACCATAGGTGCCATACAGCATAGACGTGTCTATTTTGTAAGTCTGGTCTTCAAGTGAGGGCAAAGTGGCTGATATAGCCATCGGCGCAGTGGTAACCACAGCGACGGATTTTACACCGAAGATTGCTCCAAGTAGCGGTGTTGTTCCCCAAAAGATCATCATAGACGCAATTCCAGAGAAGAACACGGGCCAGTGTCTATGGTTTACAGTTAGTATATTAACTCATACACTACGCTTCAGAGGTGTTTTCTCACCTTCGCTTTCCTGCTGAAAAGGGTACAAAGGCCAGAAACGAGAAAGGATAGTTTAGGAGGAGTGATGAATCCGCAGTGGCACCCTCCGGTCGTGAGAGCTCCAGCCAGGGTTGTATCCGTCTAATGTCGAGATCGATCCACGTCCACACAAGGCCATACAGAACCGAAACAATAGTCGGAGCGTATAGATACCCGAATGTCGATAGGCCAGATAAGCATTCAGAACAGTCTGAAAGAGCCAAGCCGCCCTCTCTTTCACTCCTCTGGGCGAGAAACTCGCTGATGCCAGCCATGGCGAGAGTCACAACGATGAACGTGGCCAAAGTAGGCGCTCGCATTGTATGAGGCTTCCATCCCCTCTCTTTTGATAGTCAGTGACTGGGAAGCAGCAAGGAATTGATGATTGAAACTTACCCAAACCCGACTGTAAGACGTGCTCTGCCATCTTTGACATATTTCGTACTATCCTGCCAGCCTGAAATGAACGTAGTCTACCCTTACAAGTAGTAACACCCGCCAGCGGGTTCGTGAGTTAACGAAAGGAGAAGAAACAAAAGAAAAAGGATGATTTCAAGTTGGTTGACACATGATGCTCTACCGTAGGGCTAACTATAATGTATAAGTAAACATTACGGTCTCCATCTCCTAGCTATGTCCATAGCCTCTTGCTCAGTTTGAAGATGTTCGTGGGCGCCTATGAGCCATGTTCATCTTCTTCCAGCGCTTAGTTAAGCGCAAACACCCTTGAAATTGGCCTAGAATCGTGATGCGGCCGACCATAACGGGGGTGCTATGTTGGCGGGCCACTAGGAACGCTTCGGCAAATGGCCGCTTGCCGTTAGGGCCACCAGGAACCTCATGATTGACCAATGAGAGCACCAAAAGCGCCTATTATGAGTTGATGCACTGTGTTGACTGCTTGTGGTTTTGACGGCCCGGTTTCGTGATGCGCAGAGGAATTTCTAGGATGCCCGTCGGCACACAATGTGTCGGCAATGTTGGGGATGTAAATTCTGAGAAAATGGGGTTGTGATGTTCAAGCTTGAGCTGACAGTTCGAGCACCGACGGGACGGGAAAGAGAAGTCGGATCGAATTGGCGCAGGTCCAACACGGCAACTGCCTGCCAACTGACAGGCACAGCTGTACGGTAGATGTTGGTTGGTTGATCATGCAGGAAGGAGCAAACGGTGCCGCAAGGAAGGAAGTGTCTGGGTTTGCATCTGCCGGCCGCGGCACTGCCACAGGATGGACGTGACGACGCGGAGTTGGCTCTGAACGGAAGTCGCAACCCAAGAACCCGAGTCGACTGACATCATCATTCTGAAAACTTTGCCAAATCTAAAACTTTTACTCAATCACCTCAGTCTTCCATGATCTTTTCCTTCGTTGACAGCCTCATCACCCATCCCAAATGGGGTTTTCAACCAGCATCCTGGGCCTAGACGCTCTTGTTCTGGCAAACGAGGAGAATCATCCCAACCTTCGCTACATCCTTGAGGATCATGGTCAGCAACAGGCAGCACATGTGCTCTGATCCATCCCCTTTACCATGGCTTATGAAGAAAACTTGAGCCTGGGCCAGATATCGACTTGTCGTCAACGGTCAACTTGGGGGTCGTCGCGCATGTTCGGGATATGCCTGGGTTAGCCAACTTTCTATACCTGCTCCTCGTGTATATTAGATACCGTGCTAACACCCTTTTGTAGCTAACCACTGCCGACGAAAGACTGATCCGTCGTTGCAATGTCCCAATGGGACGGACATCGTGACACCCGAGTCGCCAAACGGGCTCACTACATGTGTGGTCAGTGTCAGCGACCGCACTGCTTCGTGTCACCAACTATGGGCGCCTCGACAATAAGAGCTCGCTTCGAGTGAATATCTTCTGATGGCGAACCGTTGGCATACGGATGCTCCGCGACTTGCGCGGTTCAGTCGGATTAAATTCCGCGCTCTGAGCAATGCCGCGGCGCGGAACAGCACCCTCCATTTCCGGTTGATCTGTCCCTCTTGAAATCCCCAGGGTCAGCGAAGTCCAGTCAAGTGCAACAAACAACGCCATAGCTGCATACAGCTTCACCACCGGAGAGGCACAATAAGCCAAATTACAACGTGTCCATACCATATCCAGAAGGTTTATACGAATTGGAGCATCATGAGGGTGTCCAAAGACATAAGACACCTCCCCCTTTATCCAATTTCCACCTCGTCCAAGCCAGCATCTACCGCTGCAGGCGACGGGCTAACCGAAGTATCGTTGGTGCAGTGGAGTACCGCCAAAACTCGATTCGTCATCGGACGGAGACGGTTGTGCGGGCCCATACTCAGAGAGCATCCAGCTTCTCTTTCGTGGTCTTGAAGTCAAATCTCAGGCCCAACCTCATCTTTGCACATCGCTATTGACATAACCCTAGGTTGGAGACGCTGTACTGAGCCAACTTTTGAGCTTGAAACGCCGAGGCGAGTATGACAGTTAGCAAAATTGACAGCAGGTAAAAGCTGGGTGTCAAGAGCCTCCTGAACATTCTGTCGGCGAAACTAACGTGACATTCGGAGCTCACTCGGCGCTTCCACATACCGGGTCGGTTGCCAAGGACCGGTTTCGCTACCTTTAACCCGTTCAGACGGAGTTGCGCACGAGACAATCCCACTCCTAGGGACAACATCCATACACTCACATCGTACCGCTCAAAGTCCGATGGCTTTTCATCACCATTTCATTTTATTCGCTTCGGTCTTGATGGGTATGCTATGCTAAAGGAACCTCCCTCATCCCGCCACCGTACCCTATACACTGCACGCTGGACTGTTGCCGGTCTGGAAGCCCAATCATTGCAAACCCGTGCCATATAAAACATTCCCAGTTCAGCCCGAATATTTAGGTGCTTCATCGCCCGAACCGGATCCCTTGAATGAGCACCTGACTTCGCGGCGTTTCTGTCATGCTACTCGGTGCATCGAAGCAATGTGGAAGGGCCTTCAAAAAGCCGAGTGCTATGGTGTGCTGTAAAGGCCACCTACGAGGGTCCTTTTGGGATACTGAACTCTTCCGCCCACGATGCTACATGAGGTTTAGCGGTTAAACTCCCTGTCAGCCCATCCTCCACAGTGCGCCACGCTACGGGTGGTGGTGGGAGAGCAGTACCGAAGAGGCTGGGGAAAGTTGATGCGATTGGTGTCTATTTTCAGCTTGCTCGAGTGCCGCGCAACAGGTCCCACAACAATTGGGTCGAGGTAGCCGCGTGGAAAGGTCACAGTCCTCAACCTGGTGAGCCTGGCATTTGGTATCACGTACGGTTGATACCACTGCAATGTTTTTCTTCCTCGACATAATATTTTGATGGGTGATAAGTGATGTTCGAAAAGCCAACTGGTGACACCGTCAGTTATCGAGGTACATACAGACATGTATGTGTCCGTTCCAGCTGAAAGCCATGACATGCAGGCCGGATCTTGATTTCCAGCAGGCCCGTTGGGGCAAAATGCTACACCTTCGGCGGTATGTCATAGGCTCATATTACATGTGAGCCTCGCAATGGGTGCCATTGGCGTTCCAACAACTCCTCGCATGACCTTCTCTGAGAGTACACCGAACAATGACTCGGCATTTTCGAGAGCCGTAGCCATGAAGAAGAGCAAGAATAAGCTCAACCAAGCGAACCACTGTGTATACCGCCTGCTAACATCTCGCACACATATTGCAGATCTCAATTGCGTCGGTATTGCTTCTGCAGCTTGTTTCCACGTTCGTCGTAGGAGTATTCTTGCCTACAAGCTCATTCCCTACATCGGCACGTAGCCAAACACGTCCGAGTGTAATGGTTAGACAACCAGACAACACATAACCGGCATTCTGAAGTCCATTGGTATGGGACAAGTTCAGGATCGAACGGCCCTCACACCCGGAAAGAGTAACAGGGGACGCCGTGAGCTGGGACCATTGTCACGGAGAGGTATGCCGAGCAGCAGATGTGCACCCGGTCTTGAGCCAGTGCATCCCTTTGAACAGTCCAATAGAAGTCATGCCGAGACTTTGAGAGAAGGAGCCCGGGTCCTGGGCCGCCAAAGGTTGCTTTCTCGTCAGGCAATGCTTTTATGCATATGATACGCATCTGGCGGCCATTCAAACAGGCTAATTGCCATCAAATGCAGATATTGCTGGTCGGACACCAGGATCTTGAGCCGCAGGACCTGGCAGCCTCCTAAGGATATGCTCGGGCGGCTGCATCAACAATGATTTGGTACTAAGGGAGCAACACAGTTGTCATTTCCGTGCCACTGCGTGCCGCTCGCAACCACTCGATAACGTTGTTCTTGATTGGGCTAGGGCAGTTACACACATGTCCCGGAAGACTGTCCTCTCATTCAGTACGACGGTGAGAAAAAGACAGCAATTCAATAGCCTAAAAATAGCTCAGCAGAACGACATCTCGGTAAATACTGTCTTGCACGTACATCAACTCTTTGTCGAAATGCTTCTTTTCTGGCTGTGGCATTCCAAAATCAACACAACAGATGGAATGCTATCGGCATCATGTGAGGAGCATTTGGACAAAACCAGCAATACTCGCTGTGGGACAGCAATCCCTCCAACAGCTAGGGCTTACACAGTACAGCCTTCAACATGAGGTTAGCGCATGGAACAACCGGCCGGCTTTCCAGACCTTGGAGCGCCCCGCCTTGGACCCCGAATGATGGCATAGCGCAGCACATCGACAGATTGGCGTTGCTTCGAGGACGGAGCAGAAATGCATGTGCCTCATTCGCTGTTCCAGAACAGAAGACAGAAGCATCCCAATGTCTCTGTGACTGATCTCTTGTACGGTCTTCAAAAAAAATAACTTTTCCATGGTCAGTACGCTAGGATAATGCGTTTCTCATTACGTATCTACGCTGATTCTCCCACAGGCACTTTCAGGAATTAGACGCGGTGCAGAATACTGCCAGGGTCTCGGGCCGTCTCATGCTTGGTCCGGAACAACGACGCCACCGTCCGGAACTATTCCCTGAAGGGGAAGCATGTGCCATCCAACGGCCATGGTCTCGTCGACTGGATATTCGGAGGCTAATTATATTAGGAAACAATGATGACCGCCAAGTCGCCTGTTCCACAGGAGGGTGTTCACGTTCGAAAAATCTCAGACCGGCTTGTCCTGTGGTATGTTTTCCACCGGAGTGGCAGTCGCTAGTGTTGGCGGAGGAAGTTGCCTGCTTCTTTTGTGCTCGACGAAATTGACCTTCCAGAATGATTCCGGATCCGAAGATGAGGGGCAAAAGGGGCCGATAACTCGCTACCTGATTTTGAATTTGTGCGCGAGCAGGACCCGGAGAGTTGG